TCGGATTCATCTTAGTTGGTTAGATTTGTTAAAACAGAATACCATAGCCTGGGTGGCTTGAAAACAACAGAAATTTATTTTGTACTTCTGGTGGCTGAGAAGTCCAAGGTCAAGGCATCCACATATTCAGTGTCTGGTGAAGGCCCACTTCCTGGTTCATAGGCAGCTGTCTTTTTGCTGTGTTCTCATGTGGCAGAGGGGGCAAGGGAGTCTCTTTTTTAAGAGCACTAATTCCATTCATGAGGGCAAAGCCTTCATGACCTAATCTCCTCCCCAAAGCCCCACCTTCTAATACCATCACATTGCAGGTTAGGGTTTCAACATGAATCTGGTGCTCAGGTTGGGAGGAGTGTGCAGAAACATTCCATCTGTAGCAGATGTTATAACCCAATTTTTTTTGATTGTTTTTGCTTGATTTCCCCAATTGCCACTTAAAGCATTGTCTGTCAGCCTCTTCTCAAAGTTTGGTGTGACTCCAGAAAAAGAAAAACATATTGAAAGAAAACTAAAAAAAACTAATAAACTTAAAATTGAATAGCAGACATTATAGTGCTTAAAATATCTTTGGTAAATCCCTACCCTGAGATTTCTCCATTAATTAATATTTCCTAAAGGTTAAAACTCCATGTCATAACCTCTCAGTTTTGCTCAGCAGTTTACTTTTTTCTCCCTTATCACCAAATGTCAGTGTCCATGGCCAGTTCCATGTTCAGATGGTTTTATCTTTAGACACAAACACACAAGACAGGTCCCAGGTCTTAAAATAAAGCAAAATCTATCTTAAATACAATTGGATTTTGCCACTACGTTTTAGACTACAATGACCTTCCTGATACGGAGACTCTTTGAATCATATTACTTTTGTTATCATTACTAAAAGATGAGGTGATACTCTGCAGCTTTTTGTTTATTTTCCAATTTCGATTGCAACTACAATTGGTATATTCTATGTCATTTTCTTCAATTATCTTTGAAATAAGGTGAGCTATAGATAAGTATGATCCTCATAGCTGCAATATTTTTATTAAAAAGGATATGTGGATAACATCAATATAGTAGACATTTTCTAACCTCCATTATATATTGTCATTTACAGAAATAAAATTAATCAATAATTTATTTTGAATGCTGGGGAATTATAGTTAATTATGAAGCAGGCTCCCTTACTTGCTTAATTTCCCTCCCAATTGCCTTTCCTCTGCACTCACTTCTAATTTACCTTCCCTAACCTTATATTGATTTGTTTAAAATATTCTTTCTTTTTTAGTGTTGGCATTATACATCCTGACCTCTGGGAATGAATTCTTGTTTCTAGCTTTGGTCCCAGGTCCATGATATGTGGTCTCTCACTGGGTAGCTGCCCTGCATGACTAGAATGAAACTAAATAACTGTTAACCTCACAGTCGTTGCTAAATAAGCTGACTTTGGTTTCCAGCATAGATCATGATTATAATGATGATGAAGATAACATTAATGATAATAATAGTAACTGCCAACGTTTACTGAACCTTCCCAGTGTGTCACGTACTAGGATAAGCACTTGATGTGAATAATCTCACTGAAACCTCATCATAACCCTTCGTGACAGGCATTCCTATCCCCATTTATCGATGGGATCCTGAAACTTAGAGTCTGGAGAGATGGGCACCACTGCCCTAGTTAGTGTGCGCCTGGCCGCTTCCCTCCTCCCCCTCTTCTGTGCTGAGCTTCAGCAGCCAAGCCAGCGCATTTCAACATTTGAAGTCCTGGCTCTTTTGCTCAGTAATCATGTCCTGAAAAAGTCATTAGCATTTGTCTGCTTTTCAATGGCGAGCTGACCAATGAGGGAAATAGTGGTTGGGAGCAAGGCCAAGTGATTGCACCAGTGAGCTGCCCTGGTCCGGAGGTGAAACTCATTTTTGTGATCTCCTATGCCCCTGTGAGCATTTGAATTTGCCATCTTTTGAGTAGATAATCTTTAGGATTCCTCAGCGGAACAGCTAGTGAATGCGAGAATCTGTTAAAAACCAATTGTTTGCATGACAAGTTTTATGTTCCTTTTTAAAAAAACCATTTAACTACTTTTATTAGCTGCAGTTATTTGATGCTAGGAATTACCACACCCTTAAGAGTACAGTGTGGATGGATTTGTCTGTGGAAATGCAGCATTTTAAGGGAACAGTTTGTAGCTTTGGTCCTACCTCTGCTCATTGATTGTCTTTGCTCTGCCCTATAGCCTTCCTCAGTCACAGTGCGGGAGCCCAGGGGCAGAAACGAATCTGTGCCCCTGACTCTCATCAGAGAAAAAGGAACCTATGGAATGGTCACTGTGACTTTTGAGGTATGTTTACTCTGAAAAAATTTTAAGTGGTAACATTTTAGAGTTCATACTAGATAGCTATAATTTTAAAAAGCAAGGTTCTTTGTATAAGAAATATGACCCTTATATTCCACAAATGAGTGAGACCCTTAATAAAAATGAAATTAAATACTTTAATTATCTGATAAATTTCATGGTTAATATAAAAATGTTTTCCTTGTTACTTGAATATACTGTGCTTACATGGAACACAATGTATCATTTAACCACAAAATACAATGGTAATAATAATGTTAACTCTATAAAATTTATAGAACCTTTATGATAAACTTTTTCAAGGATATAAAATTTTTAAATGCCCATGGATCACTTAGACTTATACAAAGTTACTTAATATGTAGTCTTCCCCATCTGCATTTTCTATTTTAAAAAATGCACTTAATGGATAGTGTTAAAAGTAGTTGCACTCCGTGATGGAGGTCTGTAGACACTATAGCATTTGAGATGAATAAGATAGGCTGTGGGTGAGGCGTATTTCTTCTGGTGCTGGCTGTAACCATTCCATTTTATTGCTTACTGACCAAGTGCTCACCATTATGTCATCATATTGCTGTTCTATGAGATACATATTTAAATCTTCAACTAATTTTTGTTTTATATGATCCAAAACATAAACATATGCTATTTTCAAACATTAACACCTTGAAAAGTCTTGATACCAACTTATATCTTCATTATGAATTATAACATCAATAAAATGGGTAATTTGATTTATGTAACATAATTCTACTGAAGCATAGAAGAGTTTTACTTGTGCTGGTGGAGTCCTACATCATATGGTGGTTATGTTAATGACATAAGAAAATAAACCGGCATAAGGCAGTAATGCATGAAAAGCATAGGCAATAATTAAATATGCAGCAGTCTTTCCAGTTCTACAGAAGAAGCCTTAAGCAATATTTAATCTTCTTAGGAATATGCACTTAGATAATCCATTCTTGAAATTTTTTCTGATAATAAATATGGGAAAAGTGTGAAAAATTGTAGAAAGTACATGGCACCGTCAAGTTACAGTGTTTTCGACTTTGCTGTGGATGTCTGAAGTTATTTTATTGGCTCTTAACTCTTTTGTTTAGTTGAAATAGTTACAGGTTTCATTTGTGGAGCATTTAATATTTCCATATACTATTCTAATACTTTACTCTAATGCTGTTTTCACTGCATGTAAACATTCAGTCTCTCTCATGCCCTTTTGAATTTTATCTCCGTAATCCTTATCTTCATCTCACACAAACTCATTTATTATTTGTTCCTTTTCATCAAATGTAAGGTCCTGGTGGATTGGGAGTTTGCCTTGTTCACTGTTGTATACTTACTACCTAAAAAAGGTCAGGCACAGAGTACTTAGTAAATACTTTTCAAAAGGAATGATTTTTATTAAATCTTCACATCTAGCCTGTTATAAATTATTAGAGGCCCAGTGCACAGATTTGTGCATGAGTGGGGTCCCTCGGCCTGGTCAGTGATCAGGGGTGAGGGAGGTAGGCCAGCGGGGTGGGGTGGGGGAGATAGGCTATGGGAGGTTCGGCCAGCCGGGGGGAGGGACCGTGGGAGGTTGGCCGGCCATGGGAGGTTGGCTGTGGGAGCACACTGACCACCAGGGGGCAGCTCCTGGTGGTCAGTGCGTGTCATAGTGACTGGTCATTCAGTCGCTTAGGCTTTTATATATATAGATTATACTCAATTGAAAGATGAGGAACATGCTGCACA